TTGTGGAACTTGCATGCCGAACCGTCACATCCACCATTCCACCCTCCGGCGCCTTCAAAACCAAATGAACGAAATCCAGAAGTACGCACACGAGACGAGCAACCGCTAGATTTGAGCCGAAAATCGGTAACGTGTAGTAAACCTGTTAATAGGTAACTACTACACATTACTGCCTTCCCATTTAGGGATTGGAAGCCATTATCGATATCGAGACCTCTAATTATAATCAGAAGCAGCGAAAACAAAGCCAACCACAATCCGACACGATCGAAAAGGAGACGAATGGGTAGGAACGTTGTCAGAATTTTAACTTTATCGAGACCATTTTTCCTTATTCACATTAAATTAGCTGAAAGTCATTACTGAGCGTTTACTCACAAGTTTTATTATAATCTTATGAATCAACAAATATGAATATAAATCTTACAATCTTATGAATTGATATCAGATTTCACGACTTACTAACTTATATCAACGGAGAAAGATATATTGAAAAATTATGAGTAGAGGGGTGGGGGGTGCAGTAGGAAGTGGCGCTCTATCACACACGCGTGGGCCCTGGATCGAATCCCCGACTTATACTCTCCCAGGCTAATCGAGTTTGTTTTCCTTCCGTGATCGTTACATTGGTATCAGCCTCGTTTAGGAGGACAGAAGACTTGTACGTCGGCTAGCCAACAGAAGCCCACAGAACAGAACGGGCCACATAAGCATTTCAGCCGCCACTAAGATTCTTAACAAAAATCGAACGCGGGGCGCATCCGATGAAACGAAATTGAGTAACGCTAAAGACCTTACCATTTATTTGTCATGTATACTGAGACACCAAAACCCTTCTTATTATATTATTATTACAGCTATATCAAACCTTTTCAAAAATTACTAGTAAGGCTACCATAATTATATCAAAATCTTCTGGGTAACGCAAGGTTTTGGGTAATAAATACTTGTCATTACCAGCATAAGTTAATAATGTTTCACATATGCCTTCATAGTGCAAAATGCATGTCGAGAAAATTACATTTTACCTACAACTAGTTTATTGATTTACCTACACTATTTTAGGCAAGAGGAAATAGTCAGAAACGGGTATGGCATAAAACGTAATTACAGTCAAGTAGATCTTACAGCAGCGGTCAATGATATTAGGTGTGGAAGGCTGGGAACTAGACGGTAAGTACGCTATCATTATGTGAGTAAAGTGTAAGATCAACTCAAATTGGATCGTAGAAGTAGTACGAAGTTTCCAGAGCCTCAGTGGTATACGGTATTCCACGCTCGACTCTCAGGAATAAAATTTATAAATTGGAAGCTGCCGAAGAACAAGCTGGACAAGCCCCACTTAACAAGAGACGACGTCCCGGTGGCCAGAGTAATGCTGAGAAAAAGTTAGCTGAACAAGTGGAAAGGCAGAAAAAGTTGGTTACTCGTCGATTCAAACTTTTTTGCTGTTTTGGATGTTACCAAATCCGAAAAGTTTACCTTCCTAACAAGTAAGGTTTACTGGCAGGATTACTTGCTACATAACTTACTAGTTACAGAGCATCTACACCTGTTACTGATTGTTCATCAATTTCGCCAAGTAGTGACGGAACAGATGGGGAGGTAAGTAAAAGAGTAAAGTTGTAGTAAACAGTAAAAAGACGTTACTCTAGGATTCCTTACTTACAACATTTCAGAAGACGTTCAACGCGGATAATCGCTGGGAAAACGACTGGACCACGAACTTGTGGCAAAGTCTTTTCAATCAAAACAGCGTTCGCATAAATTTACTATTTTGCAGAGAAACTTATAGTTACTCGTAATTATTTCAGACAAGTATGACGGCAGACGTTATGGGGACAGGTGGGAAAGAAGACGGTAAGAAGGAGGAGTTGTCAGAGTGGAAAAAAAGTCGACCAAAACGTGGACAGTATAGGTGGGATACCAGTTATTTTCTCATCAAAAACAGTATGATACCAGTTTTCTTACCAGAAACTACTTATACTACTTTTACACAACCTTCTAAGCCTATACAATGTCTAACGAACACAAGACTTGTAAAATCCCATTCACTTTTTTCGATTCATGGGAGAATTTTACCTGGAAAAGGCCCCCTTTCAGGAGTGGCAGCAGCCCATTGCGTTGCCTAATTTTCACCTGATTTTTCGAATTTTTCTCCACCCCTCTGCTTTTTTAGAAAATACGACAAAAATGCTCTGGACGAGGCGGTTCGAAGTGTACGGCGTGGTGAAATGAGCGTCCATCGGGCCGGAAGCTACTATGGTGTCCCTCATTCGACCCTTGAGTACAAGGTAGCTGAAACTTCATAGTTGTGGAGAAAAAAAACGAAATTCAAGGTAAAATTCAGGTAAAAGAGAGGAATTTACTGCGTAAAAAGAAGGATTCACCACCTGTCAAAGAGATTTCACTCATGCAAGAGCCTATGACATCCCTAAATATATCCGAAGAATCCTCAAGTCCTGTCATCGCTGTATAGGATAAGGCGCTGCTCTTAAATGTGTCATAAGGTCATCTGAATGGCCCTTATTTACCATATCCGGCCATTATCATCATATCTACAGATCATTCAATATAATTACTTATAACTTATCATTTAAAGTGCATCAAATGTTGTATTTTCTCTCACTTTTATTCACCGTCAATTGTTTACTATTATATGTTTCATTGTTAGTGTGTTTATTATCTTTTGGTGATGTGATTGCGATTTTGAGGGATACTATTTTGTGTTTTCAGTTTATTACTGTATAAAAATAAAGAAACGAAGAAAGAATGTGTGGAATCGAAAATTTCGTGGCCATCATACCATGGGCCCTGTCCCAACTTTGGGCCAAACACATGAGGAAGCAAGCAGACGGGTGAAAACCAGCTTATGCCATTGTCATGGAAGCTTTGAGAGTAGACCGAGACACAGAGAGACTTTGAGTTCATCGTGTCAGGACCTTTCGGTCACAAAATTGAATAAGGAAGGTCCTGACGCGACGAACAAACGTGTTCTCAACCTAAACCTCAGTTTGAGGAACAGGGAAGAAAACGAATAGCCGGCCCCAGAGTCACATGAAGTAGGCAGAAGCGTATAAACCACCATATGATATGGTCGTAGGCGCTTTGATACCAGATCGATTCATCGTGCCAGGACTCTTCTATCGCAACATCGAATTGCAAGGGTCCGACAAACCTACGTGATTTCACCTAGACCTCGGTCTGAAGATCTCGAAACAGTCTGAATAACCAAACTGATAGTCATTCTACTTTCGTGGGTAATCTTGGTACAGTCCAGGGTTCAATACTCACCGCTGGGGTATATGTACAATCAGAAATAACTCTACTCAGCGCTGGGCTACACCCTTAGGAACTGCTCCCATCCCGTACCCGTCCTCACCAGTAAAGGAGGTCACAAGAATGGATGAAGACGTAGTTGTGTGGTACCAGATAGTTTTGCCAAAGGACACAACACTTGTCTGTTCAAACGATGTAATTACCCAAAAATTGAAAATTATCTGCTCCCTACCGACCTGGAGATGCACTCTGACACCTTACGTGTCTCGCTGTTCATTGCCATCAAGTAGGAAAAACTCTACACGATTCATAGATTATTTAGTCCAAGGGATAACCTGTTCTCCACAAATCCAATGATGTATGAAAGTTCTAAGACTTTATTTCTTAGGTTCCATTCTCAGGAATGTCCAAGGTAAGGGAATTCCCTCCAGCTAGAGACGACAGAAAGAGAACGCTTGCTGGTGACATTGCAATCGCATAACACAACTGAGGGATCCACTGAATACCGTTTCCTAGAGCTCAGCTGAAGTCACAGTTTGCTCGGTCCGTATTTTCTTCTCCCAGGTATGCCATACGTATCTAGGTGAACTCAAAGAAAACGGCCGACATAAAAGCGTTCAGCCAGTTAATCATTCCGTTTCACATTTTCTCTCTCTTCCTCCTATTCAACGATTCTTTCATCTGGCAAAAAGGGTTGGGGCCAGAGCAAAGATTGCGCCACGGATTTCGCGACAAACGGAGTAGTATATGATAAGGGACAAGCCGTCATCGACCCAAAGGTGGATTGGCCAATTGAGTAAATGAACTGGTAATTTTTGATCATTACCCTGGGTGATTTGTATTAAGTATATGCCGGCTTTCCACCTCCCAGAACGAAGTATGGTGAGGTATGAGAGCAAAAATCGAATCAACTATAAATCTCACATTTTGCGGTCGATCCCAAATTTCCCATCCGAGACCACCTTTCGTTGTCGATTGCGGTCAAACGCAGTGACCCTTGCTGTTGAGTTGTTACGTCTGATCACTACGGGAATCCGCCGCAGAAAAGGTGTTCTCACTTTTGTTCTTTGATCCGACGGTTACAGCGATCTTCAACTGCAGTATGAATCTTGCAGTCCCCTTTGTAAGAAAGCACCTACCATGAAATTCATCAGCTGCTGGTTTTGTTTGAGGACTTGGCTCGTCTTGTCGTCAGGAAACGCTGCTTATTCACGGACACCGAGGTAGTGGACAACAGTAATGGTAAAGTTAGTTGACACGCACTGTAGAGATTCCCATACTTGGCATCAGACGTCCTAAGTCCCGATCAGGAGGACTCCGAAGAGTTATACTTACTGAGTAGCCAGGAACGAATAAACTATTTTGTTTACTAGCTACCATCTCCTATACTGCTAGCACTCGCTACTGCTGTCTTGATAATTGTGAAGACAGGACTACTAACCACAGGGTAACTTTATTTTGTGATTCAAGCTGGTCTTCAGAACGCAATACTTTCCTCGAAGATCTTCGAAAAAGAGGAATTCTTCGTGTCTCCACAGGAACAAATCCAGAAAAATTCATGCTCAGATACTTTGAGACACTTTGATATTCCGGCTTCTAAAACTCGAAAAACCCAACCTTCAGAACTGCATTTCAGTTATGCAGGGGGTTCGGATGAAAACCAAGGCCGTCATGGATAATTTATATCGGATGTAGACGTAGATTCACAAAAATCCACCGTATCTCAGTAATAAAGGACCGGTCACCATTAATCGGTCACTTTCCCACACCTCAGCAGCATTACATCACTTTCACATTCGGTGAAAAACTGAAAACGATAACGAACTTGCGAATCTTCTTGACCGCGCACAAAACTTGAATTAGGAGATCTCAGGTGAGTGAAATGGATCAGTTTCTTAGAGTGCATACGAATTCTTTCGTCGCGATTCATTTTCAAAAGCAAATCCTTCAGCAACAGGTTGTCGCCTAAGAAGTTGTCGCCTAGTCCTAAATTCATGACTGGATTCGGGCTTGGAATCCAACGTCCCCTAGAAGTTAAGAAGAGTAAGAATCTCTACAACAAATACAAATACAATAAAGAAATTCTTATAAGTAAAAAAAGACAGGAGAGAAGTAAATGCAATTACATTTATTGATCTGTAGAAGTAAAGTACGCGAGTGATGGGGGAACCCCGGGCAGGGGTCGATTGATCAAAGTATTTCAGTAATATGGACCGCCATGGTCTCCACCCTGATATATCTGCTGTTCATTTATCATGTGACTGAGTAAAATAATAAAGTAAATCTTTCGAATGAGTAAAATTACTCCTTACTATAAAGTTAAACAAGTTCGGATACTAAAATAAGTAATCTTGTATAAGTTAGACCAAACTTTCAATACTAGATCGCTTTTATTCATTTGGAGAGGAGCAAAGTATTCAAAGAAGAGTTCCTCGTGATGGGATTGCTCCACGACATCATAAGTTCCGAAAAATAGTGTGTTTGTTGTGTTTATTGTGTTTATATGTATGGGTACATATATTTTCCCCCTTCAACACCTCCCTCCCTCCCTGTTCTGGCAACGATTCCGTTGGACATTTTCGAAAAGTAGTTAGAAATGAGGTCAAACTTTAGAGGAAAACTCAAGGGCTAGTTCTGACTGAGTCAATTCTGGTCCGCTATGCTTGACCCGGGCCACAATCCGGCCCCAGATGCTTTCTGTTCGTTATACGGGGAGCGATTTAGCAGCGATCTGTTGTGTGAGACGTCGTTAGTCGGGAGGCTGACCGAAATTCCAAAATGACCCACCGCGTAAGGGAAGATGATGACGACGTCGGCCTCATCGTCTCGTTGTCAACCCTTCACACATTCTTTTCACTCATCGATAGGAGGCCCCTCCAGTTCAACATAGCCCATTTAAAGTGCAGTGAATCGCTATTCTCGAGTGGCTTAAACGGTGTCTTGCTAGTTAATTAGGTTCTTTAGTTCGGTATTGAATTGGGAAAGGGAGAGAGGTAGGCTTGTGTACCCACCACCGTTAGGTCATTCAGAGGAATCTCTTGATCCCGGGTTACACCGATGAAGCGGAAGCTCCTTTTTTTCTAAGGGCACCCACTTCCTGGTGTACTGATCTACACTGCAGACATCTACTTAGTTTTCCTGGATGTTTACCGTCTGATTGTTTGAAAAGAGCTGTTTTAGTGGTTCTTGTTTGTATCTGTTCTGTTTCTTTGTTCGTTGCTTTTCACGAAAGTTGCCGATCTGTTCTGCTTGCTCTACATTGTTTACTATGCTTGCTTACTTTTGAAAACTTCCGTAATCAGTATTACATTTTCCCTCATGGAGCTGAAACCTTCCTTTGAAGAAATTCTCCTAGTGGCTTTCCTCGAGTTTGATTGACACCTATCAATTGTCATAACCCTTCATTAACAGTGGGCAACAGGAGGAGGGCAATGGAAGGCCCTCCAACA